AATGTGAGGGTTTAAAAAACTCCAGGGGAGCCCTGAACATCATCACATCTTGTTGAGGTGCTATAATTCACACCCATGTTGTGCCTGCTGCTCTTTGGCAAGAGACAGCCCTTTGCAAGTCACAATATGGGGGGGCCATGGAGAGATGGGATCAACCTGGGGAAGGCTCAGAATGTTTTCCTATTTCTCCAAAGCTGTGATGGCTCAGCTAAAGGGCACAGAAACTGGACCTGAATGGGTGGAGTTCCCAGAGCCAGTCTCCATGGACAGATGTTAAGTAATATGATAAAGGAAATCCCTGAAATAAAGCAATGGATTACCACTAAATACAAAATTCACTTCACTTAGAGAAAGAATCCTAGAAATAGCAGATCCCTTCTTTTTCCCAGGACACTTCATTTTCTGTATCTCTAGTCACCATTACTGTAACCACCTCTCTCCTCTCCCCCACCCCTTGGTCATATTGTTATGGGTTTTGTGTATCTCCTGTAACCTAGTTGTTAACATTGTATCTCCTGTAACCTAGTTGCCTTCCCCTCCTCACCCCCATCCTTCTATTGTTAGTCCCTCGCTCTGGCGCTATGTATTTCCCTACTGGCTTTGTCACCTTTTTTTTGGATTCACAATCCTAAACATTCACTAATAAAAGTCCATTTGTATTTCTGTAACACCTGGAGGCCCCTATCAGGGGTCAGTGCCCCATTGTACTGGGCACTGTGCAGAAGAGACTGTGTCTACCCCAACAGCTGAAATTCCAAGGCCCTGATTTGTAGGGAGAACCACATGGGTGAATGCTTCCCAACACAGAATTGGGACCCAAGTAGGTGAAAGTTAGGCATTATATTAAATGCAGATCAAGCCTGCAGCCAGAAGGGCTTGGTGAGATGCCCTTTAGAACTTATCACTGTAGCTCTTCTCCTGCTTCCTGTGATCATTCTTACCACATCACATACTGCCTCTCCGCTCTTTCATTCACTCCCAGTCTGAGAAGCAAGAAACAGGGGGTTGGAGAAGTTACCACTAGGTCACTGGTCTCAGTCACCTCAAATATGCTTTCTGCAGCAGTCCACTAAATTATGAAATTCATCTTTGCCTTATGAAGCCTCAAGATACTTCCCCATTTCTTCATCCTCAAGAAGCCTCAAGGTAGCAACTTTAGGGCATGAGATTGGGTGTGGCTGCCTCTGATTCCTACTGTGGCTGTCAGCACAATGAAAGGCTTTCCTTTCTCCTACAGACTGAGCATGGTCCCATGGTCCCTACAGCCCTTATGATCCTGGGAATGAGGGACATAAGCTAAAATAACTGAGATGAAATAAGGCTCCTTTGGAAAGACAGATGAGTCCTGTACATTCCAACACACTGCCCACCTGAGCCATCAGAGCAGATGGCCATGGAGGAATGGGAAAGTGCTTTAACCAGTAACACCTGTTGCAGGAGATTTGCTATCATTTTTTACACTGCAGTAACGTTCAGAGGCACCACTGCAGAAGTGTAACTCAAAATTTTGGCACCTTGGAGAGGGTAGGGAAATGGGGGTGCCAAGCACTTACCTCCTTACACAGGAGCCACTGAAGCCACAGACTCCCTGATAGCTGCCATTCTGTTGTCCCCTCTGAATCAGCACCCGGGGCTTGTGCCCTGCTCACCCATACCTACTTATGCTACTGCATCATTGTGCCTGGATTATTGTGCTGACTGTCATACCATAAATGAAAATCCCTGCTCCAATCAGCGCCTGCACTGTAATGCATGTAACTGGCTTGGGGGAGGGATAATCATCAGTTTCCTGTGTTGGCTGTGATAGAATAATCCAGGAGTGCACCAGTTTTTCTTTTGAAATGATAAATCAGTTGCCACAAGAAAAATAATCCTTGCAGAGGTTAGAAGAATGGTGTGAAAGGGAGTGTACTATGATTGATAAAGTGGGATTATTGCAGGTGAGAAGGTTTGGTTCGCTCAACTTGTCACTTTTAGGTCCTTGAATTCTCTGAAGTTAACATAGTCACCTTTTGGGATGTGTATGCAGCTATCTTCTCTCAAGCTCTCTTTTTCTTCCAAACTGTGTATGTGCATATGGATGAACTAAAATAAAGAGAGCTGGAAGGGGTGCTCATATTTTTTAGAAGTAAATTAAGTTAAAGGACTTTTGCTGAGGCCAAAGGCCTCTCCTTTGCCTTGCAATTCTCTTACTGCCAGCTGGGTGGGAAATTAAAACATTGTAAAGTAAACAAATATTACAGTAGAAAATTCCAGCCAGTTTAGAGTCCAGAATACAAACATAGGTTGAAATCAGATCTGATATAACAAAGGCTCCATTATCTGTCACCCAGGAAATGTGCCACTGGTAGCTAAGAGTCATGTTATTGTTTTCCTGATGTCTGCACAAGGGAAAGACACAGCATGGGTATCGGTGAGGTATCAGGTGATAAGAATTATTTTCATGTCAAGATGCCAAGGGTAACCTAACTAGGAGGGTCTTTTCATTCAGTCCAACCCTGACTATAAAGCATAGATTACAGCCTGAGTTTGTTTTTATGGAATTTCTACAACAGCTACAAAGTCACTGAAACTATAAAAAAAACTAGGGAAATCTGCCTTAGCAACCATCTCTACTACCATGTAACCACCTTCTAGTGAGGAATGAGTTAACATCCTAAAGTTCCATCTAAATTAGGTACACAACTGCCAGGACTGAAAGGGTGGGGGCTGATTCAGACTGTTAATTACCCGAGGTGGGGAACATATTGTTCAGTCTTGCCTGTGCAGACAGTATAGAGCTGTGTTTCAGCCATGCTCCTAAACAAAACTACAGCCCTCCAATAAACGCTGGAGTTGCAGCTAGAATAGGCACAAGGGTTGAACAAGTGTATAATTGCTTCTTATGGAGAATAACAGGTCTGGACATCCAGATACTACCATCCAATATACTATATTAATGTGTTAGTTAAGTAGAGAACATGGAAATATGCAGAGCTTCCATACTTAGAAGTGAGTCTGTCCCTCCTCTTTCTTTCCAGTTCCCCATTTTCCTTTCTGCCGCCTCTTCCAGCATCTCTCTTGGAAGTAATTTCCCTCTGCTTTATGCTACAGCTACTGGGCTCCACAGAATGATATTTATGGTTGAACAGGCTGGAGCAAAACATGTTATACTGTGTCAGAGAACTTTTAAGGAGAACTTTAAGAACTGGAGTCTATAAATTTGTATATGCTTGTTCGTGCAAACCCCCCCCCCAAAAAAACAACCTGAAAACCTTTATTTAATGGTGAAAGCAGCAGCTGAGCACCTGAACACAGCAGACTAACTGAAGTGTATTGCTCCACAGTATCACACAACCACTGGCTGCTCATGGAGGCAGTTATCTCTTGGGATGGGGAGGATTCGGGGCCTGGCTTAGTATTATTAGTATTACTGTTATTACTATTATTGCTATTATTATGTTATCATTATCACTATTATTTTATCATTATTATTATATTTTATCATTATTACTATTGCTATCATTATTACTATTGCTATTATTATTACTATTATTATTGCTATTATTATTTTATCATTATCACTATTGTTTTATCATTATTATTGCTATCATTATTATTGCTATTATTATTATTTTGTCATGATCACTAGTATTTTATCATTATTATTACTATTATTGCTATTATTATTTTATCATTATCACTATTATTTTATCATTATCACTATTATTACTATTATTAGTTTATCATTATTTTTATTGCTATTATTATTGCTATGATTATTATTATTATAATACATGTTTTGCCTTACATGTAAAGCATATGAAACTGGCATCAGGAGCCAGGGCTTTCACCGGCTGGCACAACCCTGGAAGCATGAGTGAGGTGTGCAAGTGTCACGGAATCCTGAGTAAAAACCAGTCCTTCCCACCGAGCGGAGTGTGCAAAGCCGCTTTGAGATCACCCCTTCGGGGGTGACAGTCCTGCCCGTGTGTAAATGCCGGTGGGCGGCTCCGACTGCGAGCAGAGCCGCCCTATCACGCGCACTTCCCGGCGCAGCTCTGGTCGCCTCGCAGACCTTCATGAATGAACTTTGGGAGGTTGTTTTTTTTTTTTATGAATGGGAGCCCTGGCCTTGAATGAATGCCAGAGCGCGGCGCTGTGATTGGCCCTCCCGGCCGAAGTCACGCCCCCTGCTGGCGGGGTGAGGGCCCAGCGGCGCCCTGATTGGCGGGCGTGCCCCAGCCCCTGGCTTCATTCACAAAGTCAATGAAACAAAGGAGCGAGAAAGCTGAGCCTGTGAAAGAGGAAATGCACCAATGGGAGGCTGCCCCCGGGCACCCGACTGCCTGAGCCGCCGGGAGAGCCAGCCTGTTCCCTGGGAGCGGGCCGGGGCAGGGCCCGCTGCTCCCGCATGCGGAGCCCCAAGGGCTGAGCGGCTGTGAGGCGCCCGCGTCAGGTGAGAGCGGGGCAGGGGCTCCTGCCTGGAAGTTTCCCCGGCGCTGCGGAGCGGAGCGGAGCGGCCCCGGCCCCGGCCCCGCGCAC